AACATGTGATGTTGTTTGTTGGGTAAAAATACATTTTGTTAGAAAAATACATTATGATATGATTCTTTCTTGAATATTATAATTTTTAAAACATATTAAATTTTTTTATATATTTAAATAAATATTAAATCTGATTTTTTAAAGGTGTAATCTGACAGTTCCTGATCGAAGTGAAGATCTTCTAGGTAACCCACCTATTTTTTGTTATAGAGATCTTTGTACCAGAGGCGTAGCGACCCTTCCCGGCGCCCGGGGACATACTTTCAATTTGGCGCACCCTTGGGAGCAAATTTTCGAATTGCACCCCCCCTCGAACTTTTCATTTGCACCCCCCCCCCTCAAACTTTCGATTTGCACCCCCCCCCCCCTCGAACTTTTCATTTGCACCCCACCCCCTCAAACTTTCAATTTGGCGCCCCCCCTAAGGTCGGCGCCCGGGGACATATGCCCCCCCGCCCCCCCCCCCTCGCTACGCTACTGCTTTGTACATATGGATGTGGTTGTTATTTAAGTGGACTTTTTTGGGTAATAGTTAGTAGGGGAGGGGGTAATATTAGGGGTCACTTTGGTTATAGAACATTTTTATTTCTTTATTTTTAGATTCTTATTACAAATTATATCAAGGGCGAGTAGCCTATTGATCTCAATTTATATCAATGTAAAAATTTAAGAAACAGTTTTCGTTTGATAATAGGGATTGTGTCAAAGTTTTTACTTTTTAAATTTAATTTACCATGTTGTTTGACTAGTTTTAAGATTACATTTACAATCAATATTCAATAATAATAAAATAAACAAAAAATGGGAGAGTATAAGGTAACTAAGGGGTAATCACCAATTTATACAAATTACATTGTTTGTTTCCCTTAGAACATTTAAATATTTTTTGTGTGTGCATGACTGATGAATTTTAGGTACACATACATTTGTGTTTGTCCTTTTAATAACAATTTAAAAATAACTATCTTGGTTTATTAATCTATATTGTACAGGTAAATAATAAACAATTACATTTTTACAGGCTTAGCTTACGTGGGTAGTGCATGCAGGACCAATGGAGAAAGCTCTTCTGTTATTGAGGACATGGGGGACTACAGGTGTATCATTACTGCAGCTCATGAGCTTGGACACAGGTAGGTTAGGGGATACAACGTTAATATTTCTATTTACCTGGACCTAATGTATAAGTAAAGTCCCTTATTCAAGCCGACGGTCTATGAGGCAAGTGAAATAGAGTGCATACGATTTGATTGTGTGGCCAGCGCTATGTCAATCCGTCTTAAATTGCATTAACATCAAATCTAGGTAAAATCAGGAGCGTTCTACTAATTTGAACATGGATTCGAACTAGACGCTTTAGGTTTAGCTGTCTAGCGCTCTACGGCTATGCCACGCAGTTCCCAAATATATATTTAAAAATGTTTTTAAAATCTATAAAACTGTATATATATATATATATATATATATATATATATATATATATATATATATATAGAGAGAGAGAGAGAGAGAGAGAGAGAGAGAGAGAGAGAGAGAGAGAGAGAGAAAGGGAAGGGAGAGAAAGGGAGAAAGAGAGAGAGATTTATATACATACTAGGCCAGGGGTCGGCAACCGTTTGAAGCGGAAGAGCCAAAAGTTACAATTTTCAAAATTTCCCTGGTTTTAAAGAGCCACTAACATATATTTTATTTCAAATATTTTATTTTTTTATTCAGATTATTAGTATTTGTTCAAGGAGCTAGAGAGCCGCATCTTGATATCAAAAGAGCCGCATGCGGCTCGCGAGCCGCAGGTTGCCGACCCCTGTACTAGGCATACTGCTTAGCTTCGCTTAGGTTTTTAAAAAACATTTGAGAATTTGAATACTTGATTTTTTAGCGATGAATTGGGTGTGGAGTGCTTTAATTTAAACAGTAATGTTAACTTTAGAAAAAATGTTTTTTTTTTTTGTCATTTAAATTCCGTTCTCATAGAATAATGGAAAGTACGCAATGTATAACTAAAATGGAATTAGAACTATACAGGTTCCATGAACAGTATATCTCATAGTTTATATTACATTGCCTTTTGAACTTTATTTATTTAATTAGGATACGTAACTGAATTAACAACTTAATTTTGTTCTAAAACAAATGCTATACTTCGCCATTTTCTGTTTCTGTTTAAAATAGTATACAATTATTTGAAAAATAATAATTTTAAAAACGTTACCTCCCTTGAAAACTGAACGTATGACGTAGGCTTTGTTTACTTTTTTTTACAAACAGTTGCTATGCTTATATAAGAAATTATGGTATATGAACATATTTAACGACTATAATGGCTGTTTCCGACGGGAATAAATTTTTTTTGTTACCCTCCAGGGTTGGTCTACGAATTCATATAATATTAAGGGGATCGTTCGTCAATTTATTTATATATATATATATCTCATATAAGGAGAACGTCACTCACGATCATCTTTTAGCCCTCGTCGAGGGCTTTGAGTCTGACCAACAGTTTTTCCATACGGCCTAGTCATCTATAGTAGTGTATGCAAAAACTTAGCATGATGTACAGAAGTTAAGTAACCTAAAAATTGTGTTAAAATTTCCCTGTTTTTGCCATAAAATACAAAGATTATATAGGGAAATACGACTGGTCAGTTTTGACCCATTTCCCGATTTTTCCAGGACATGGCGAGTTTTTTGTGACACCCCAAGGACTTCTTCTACCACCTCACAAAATTTCAAGGGGGGTCGTCGGAGGAAATTTTTTTTCGTAATATAGCTCATATAAAGAGAATTGCACTCGCGGTCACTTTTTAGCCCTCGTCGAGTCCTTTAGGTAAAACCGACAGTTTTCTCTAAAGGTCAAGCCATTTACCTAAGAGTATGCAAATAATTAGCCAGATATACTGAGGTTTAGTACCCTAAATTATGCGTTGAAATGACCCTCTGTTTTTCCCATAAAATACAAAGATCATATAGGGAAATACAACTGGTCAGTTTTGACCCCTTTACGTAGTGTTCCCAAATATGCCGAGTTTTTTGTGACATCCCAAGGCGTTCTCCTACCACCTCACAAAATATCAAGGGGGGTCGTCGTCGGAAATTTATTTTCGTAATAAAGCTCATAT